TCCTGAACTGTGGCGTGTTCTCCTTTTCGGCGAGGCGGCGCGTCACAGGAAGATGTTCTCACCTCCGTGCATACATGGGAACTTGGAGAATCACCCAGAGGAGCAGAGCCTTGGAACCCATTCCACTGGGCTAATGCTGGCTCCAGCCAGTGGCCTCCAAAGGCATGTTGTCACTCTAATCTTCCTCTGAGCTCTGTCATCTGTTCATTTAAGCTCTCCATGTCCAGAGTGGATGAAATTCCCACTGCCGCCCCACAAAGCAAAAACCCAATGGCCTTGTTCCCCTCCTCTTTCCTCCCTGCTCCAGCCACTGCCTTAAGGCTCAGCCTCCAGGCTCCTTCTCATCCAGCTGTGGCACCAGGTCCGCTGGGGCCACATCTCTCTGTTCTCGCAGCAGCCTTACTGTGAAGCATGGTCTAGCACCATGTTTTCAGTCTACTCGGAGGGAGGAGGTGGGGGGGGTGTCTGAGAAGTGGGGCCCCTCCCTGAGTCCTCGCCGAGCTTCAGAGTCCTTGCTTAAGCTTTCTGGGTCACAGTCTCACCAAGTGAGACATTTCCCTAGAAGAACTCTCGTGTAAGCGTGTGCTCTCAAGTTGGTGGAAAGGGGAGGCTTCGTGACTGTTGAAATTACACAAGGCCCCACAGTCAGAAGCCTCTGTGTTTGATATGACGCTTTGCTATGGCTGTATTATTTATTTATTTATTTATTTATTTATTTATTTATTTATTTATGTGTCTTAGTAGTGCTAGGGTTTGAACTCAGAATCTCAAGCGTACTAGGCAAGCTCTGTACCACCAAGCCCCATCCCGATCCAAAGGGCCCTGCCCATCTGCAGAGAGCCCTTCTCAACCCGCCATTGCTCTGCAGCCCTTGTCCTTCATTCTGACTTCATTTCTAGCCCAAGCCCCATGTGTTTATGACTTGTTTATCTAGGTGTCTCTGGCCTAAGTGGACGGAGGGAAGAGGACACTGGTGACTGACGGGCCTTCCCTGGGACCTCCAGTTTGTCAGACCTGCCAAGCCTCTTGCCAAACCATCCATTCTCCATCATCACAAATGACCTGGAGCCTGGAAGAGCCAGGCCCAAGCAGCTTATGGGGGCCAGCTGGCCAGCTCCACTCACAGGAGGTGTTGGATACCTATTAAAGAAATGGGGGTACTCTTGTGCCCCAACAGAGCTTCCGATGTCCATTCATTCAGCATGGCTCTCTCTGGACTGTCCTAGCCTCATGTCTGCTGGCAAAGGGAAGCACTCTGAGCTTTCAGCGTCACTGCGAGCTTGGCCCTGGATGAGACTGTAGTGTGAATGTCTACAGTGTGTCTGTTGTGGCCGCCTTACCACAAGAGCACTTATGAGTAGCGACAGTGTAAACCACACTATCCTAAGTGCTTCATACAGGACTGTTGTTAGTAAGAGTTCTATGAGGTTATCCTGATTAACTTATAACTGAGTTACAGAGAGGGAAACTGAGGCATAACAGTTGAGTAACTTTGCCAAGTCATGTTGAAGGAGCAGAGAGTCAAACCCAGCTCCAGTGACTCCTGAGCCAGGTGCTGATGCACAGTGTTTAATACACACACACACATACACACACACATACACACATATATACATACATACACACACATGTACACGCAACGCACACACACGCACATACATATACACATATACACACATACATACATACATACACACATGCACACACACATGTACACATACACACACACACATGCACACACACACACATTGAGACAGGTGTCTCTAAGTAGTTCTGGCCTGGAACTTGCTATGTAGACCAGGTTGGCCTCAAACTCACAGAGATCTGCCTACCTCTGACTCTTGAGTGCTGGAATTAAAGGCATGTGTCACTGTGCCTGGCTGCATTTTAAGGTTCTGGGCCTTGGAGAATTATCAAAGTCTCTAAGGTTACCCCAAGGCAACTGGAAGATGACCCATGGGAGGGGACAGGCCCCTCCTCCAGCACCCTGCTGGTCACCACCACTGAAATTCTCCCAGGGAGAAGACAGAGCCTGACTTTCTAATCTGTGGCCATTTGCTACTGCTCCTTCTGTCCTGTCAGAGTGACTTACCCACAGCACACATCAGAACACCCCTACCCCATCTCCCTAAAAAACCATCTGTGGCTCCCTGTGCTCCTGGCTGAAGTCTCAGTTCTTCCATCCAGTGTAGCACTGGCCTGTGGGATCTGAGCCCAGCTGATTTTGCTGAAGGGGGGCTTCTTCTCTCTTCCCAGTGGAGGCCTATACTTCACCCACAAGGCTGCCCCTGTGTGGAAATGTTCCAGAAGGTCCAGAGCATGCTGCGGTGTGTATGATAAAGCCCCATAGTTCAGCTTGCAGAAGTTCCCAAGACTTCCCATGGAAGGTGGCACCAAGGACTCATGAGAAGACCATGTTTCTCTAGCCTCTAGGCATCCCCCAACACACAGGCACACGCATAGACTCAAACACCACCCCCCAGTGTTTTCACATGCATGCACACTCACATGCATGCACACTCACATACATACACACTCACATGCATACACACTCACACACACACACACACACACACACACACACAAACAAACCTCTACTTGGGCTTTCATCTGTGTGATGGAGCTAGGCTTCCTTTGGGAATGGTCCCCATTCAGCATGGCTGGAGCTTCCCCTTGCTTTACCTGGAGTCTTCTCCATAAACCCTGGTGCAAGCAACCCTAGCAGCAGCTCAGAGGTCAAAGCCCAGCTTCCCTGGAGTCCTGGGCATGCAGTCCAGCCCCCAGATCATTGCCCCAACCTGTCTGGAAGTATGTGGGATGAACCCTGAGGGAAAGCAGGAGCAGCCAGGCCATTTTGCACCTCCATGGACTGGTGGGAAAAGACACGATTGTCTGGACCTCTGATGCAGGCTATTTCCCTGGTCACACCCGGTCAGATGTTGAAGATAGCTACCATCGTAACGTGGGTGCCTGGGTCCTTCTGACAGCATCTAGGTCTCTCACACTGTCCCATGTTCCTTTTCACACCAACAGTCATACCCTCTGGCTTTCTACTCTGAACTTTGGGTTACAGGCCGGGACTCCCGATCCTCAGTGCCGGCACTCCCATCTCCCCCCACCATTGCTGTGAGCCTTGTGTCCTCATCTGCAGAGCCAACACAGTCCCGTCTAGAGAGCCATCCTGCAGGGAACATGCTCAGGGGCCTTGAGCAGCAGTAGACAGTATCTCTGGGTGACAGAAGCTGCCAGTGTGAGGTGAGTGTGTGGCAGGCTAACCCCACTGAAGGCTTGAGAGTCCCATCCTTCCCACCCCCATCCCCGGGACTCCCCAACATTTATCTGGTGGCTGTGACTTGCTTCCTTGGCCTGACACAATGTCATCAAACTTGTCTTCACACAGTCTCCCTGGATGTCTGTCTGCATGCTATCTCCCCCCCCCACAAGATTTACCCTCTGTGCCAGGACCCTGCTTACACTGACCTGGAGCCTGTTCTAATGTTTCATTTTTGTTTAATTTCCTTTATCAACACCCTGTGTCCACATACAGTCACATTCTCATATCTTGGTGGTTAGGTCTTTAATCTGCATGGAGGGACACCCATGCAGGGCTCTGAGGGCAGAGCTTAGCTGACACTTTGCAAGTGGCCTATACATTTTCATTAAAAAAGAAAGTCAGGGGGTTTTGAGAGATGGCTCAGTGGTTAAGAGCACTGGCTGCTCTTCCAAAGGTCCTGAGTTCAATTCCCAGCAACCACATGGTGGCTCACAACCATCTGCAATGGGATTGAATGCCCTTTTCTGGCACATACCGCATATTCACACAGAACACTCATATAGAAATAAATTTTTTTTTAAAAAAAGTCAGGCCCCTGGGAACAAGGGGTGCTATGTCTCATGTAGGCCAGGGACAATTAAAGTGTTGTAGGTTTCTCTGAGTCGTTACCACCGACTTGCAGAACACGAAATGCTTTCATTTAAATGAACCAGAGCAGTTAAGGCATTTGCCAGAAGTCACAGAGCTTAGCGGGAAAGCTGAGGGTGGCCCTCCGGATGAGGCACCAGTATTCTGTACAGAATGGAATAGCATTGTCCTAGGGTAATGCGCTGTGTAGTGGGCACAGAGATATGGAACAGATTCTGAGCTCAGAACATGGTCTCTGGGGCCTCCTGGTGTGAGGAACACAGAAGGAGTTCAGTAAGAAGAGGATTGTCCAGATCTCAGGTTGTTCAGGGAGGTGTTGGCAGGCTGCCAGGTGCAGGGCCCACAGGTCTGAGTCACCACTGTGACCTAGCCAGCCTGGCCGATACTCCAGTAACAGGGCCATGGGGGTGAGGAATGTCAGTAGGGGTGCCGAGATGGGGCACACCCCCACCTCCAGCCTTCATTCTGAAGACACACAACTCTCCAGGAAGCTGGGAGGTGGCGCTTCCTGTCAGAGGCTCAAAGCCTCTCCTGCAGGATCTGGGCTGATTGCTCACTCTTGCTTTCTCCTGGCAGCTGGCTTTGTGGTTCTAGGTTAGTCATTTTGTCTGGCCTTGCCTTCCTCACTTGACACTCATTTCTACATCCATTCGCTATTACCCAGTGGCTGGCTGATTTATCACTTCACCCAGGCCTGCTGTCTCCCTTCCCCCACAGAGACATTCTCCCCTTCCCTGTCCATCTATCCTTCCATCAGCTACCTATCCTTCCACTTAAAGGTCCTCCTGGTTATCCCTCTCACTCAGCCATTTTCTTAAGGTGTGTGTGTGTGTGTGTGTGTGTGTACATATATATGTACACCATGCATGAGCAGGTGCCCAAGCTGGCCAGAAGAGGGCATTGGATTCCCTGGAACTGGAATTGAAGGTGGTTGTGGCCCCATCAGTGTGAGCGTTGGGGAATTGCAACTCCAGCCCACGGACAAGCAGAAGTCCTCTTAACCATTGTGCAGCTCTCTAGCCCCTTATCCAGCCATTTTCTCATCCCACCCCTCATTCTTCATCCATCTGTCCATCCATCCATTCGTCTATCCACATGTATGTCCACCCACCCACCTATGCACCCATCCTTCACTAAGCACCTACTGTGTTCCTTACCCAAAGCTCCATGAACCCTCATCTTGTGCCAGGCTCACGCCTGTCCTCTGCGCAGATTCACTTTATCCACAGGGAGGAGCTTTGGCAGCATTCAGACCCCATCTCCTTCCTCTTCCTGGATGTGGTTCTTTTGTCTCCTGAGGAAGGAGTTCTGGGAAGGCAGTTAGTTGTTCATCTGCATGGTCTGACTGAACCAGTGAGGACTGCTTGCAAATTAGAGCTCCCGTGGTCCCTTTTTCCATGATGTAGGAGCACAGCTCGCGGAGACTTATGGGAAGGGACTAAGCCAAGGTGAAGCCCTGGGTCACCAGTCACTAGCTTTATTCTTTTTGGTTTTTTGAAATTGGGAAGACTGGGAGATGAGAGCAAGTGTGTTTGGCTGGTTGATCTGTTTTTTTAATGTTTCTTTTCCTTTTAGATTTAAAAAAAATGTGTATGGCTATTTTGCCTGCATATATGTCTGTACTATATTCATATAAAGCCCACATGGGCCAGAAGAGGACATTTGAGTCTCCTGGAACTGGAGTTACAGATGGTTGTGACTGTGTGGATGCTGGGAATTGAACACGGGTCTCCTGGAAGAACAGCCAGTGTTTTTAACTGCTGAGCCATCTCTCCAGCCCAGGCTGACCTTGATCTCACGACCCTCTTCGATACCTTTCTATCTTCTGGGATTATAGGCATGTGTAACATGCTTAATTCATGTCTGCTTCTTTTTGTGGCATTTCTGTTTTGGCTAGGGGCCAAGAAGTGTGTGCTCATGCATACCTGCCTGTAGGCGGTTCTCGCTGAGTCAGTCCCGCCTCAATATGGGGGTGTCTTGGAAGGGTGTGCCACAGGCCCTGCCACCTTCGACTCTCACCGTGAGTGATTCATTCAGTCCCAAAGGCAGTGTTAGTAGCTGTGTGTGCCTGTCCATGACAGAGCCATCCCTTCTCCCTGCTGCCCAGATGGAGGGGCTGGCTCTGCTGCCCCTGGCCTCTCCCTGTCCCCGGATCCCACGAGCCCGTATCTCCAGGCACCCAGGGCGATGGGCCCACCTGGGCTGCAGGTACCGGTGTCAAGGGTGGTGGAGGGAGGGAGGACTGGGTCTGCTGTG